CCAAAACATGCCTTTATTTGCAAGTAGGTGTTTAAACTATTTATTTGTTAAAAGGACTAATTCATAAGTATAAGTTCGGTCGGGACCCACCGTTGTGGACCACGAGGGGTGCCTAACACCTTCCCCTCGAGGTTATCTCAGCATGATATGAATATATGGCAGCTATTTTTTGTTTCATTGAACACCATGATATAGTTGTACCTCCATATGTGAACAAATAGCCTGTTTGAGATCGGAATTTATGTGGATCAGACAAATAACCTGCATCGGCATAGCCAATAATTTCTTACTTCAATTCATTAGAATAAAACAATCCCATATCTGTAGTTCCCCAAAGATATCTAAATATATGCTTAACACCATTCAAGTGTCTTCTTATTGGGGGGGAGCTGAATCATGCTAATAAGCTTACTGCAAAAGCAATATCTGGTCGAGTATTGTTGGCAAGATACATCAGTGCCCCGATTGCACTAAGATATGGAGTTTCATCACCAACGAGCTTTTCATCATTTTCTTGAGGCCGAAATGAATCTTTATTTATATCAAGCGATCTCACAACCATTGGGGTACTCAATGGATGTACATTATCCATGTAAAATGGCTTTAAACCCTTTTCAGTGTATGTTGATTGATGGACAAAAATTCCATTTTGTACATGCTCAATTTGTAGGCCAAGACAAAATTTTGTCTTACCAAGATCTTTCATTTCAAGTTCTTTCTTCAAACACTCTACATCCTTTGGAAGCTCTTTAGAAGAGCCAATGATATTCAAGTCATCAACATAAACAGCTATGATCATTTTTGTATCCTTCCTTTAGCAAAACTCGCTAAGACGATTGTACCACATTGATCACGCCCAACTCTAGTCCTAAAAAGGATAAGCGGTCGCTGCAAATATAATCCGGTCTAAAATTCCGGAGTCGAATCCCACAGAGAACTAAGGCTTTGCTATATCTGTTTAATATCACTAAGAAAATAAGTTTGAACAATTTCCTAAATTATAAATATTAAGATTTATATTTCTAACTAATTAACTAGCAAATACTACAAAGCGGCAAAATTATTAACTAAAGAGACAAAGGGTTGGAGACTAAATTAAGGAGGTCTAGAGTTATGATTTCCCCAATTGTCGGAATCCTTAGAGCTATGTTCCCTACAATTTCACCAATGTATTCTCTACTGATCTTGAGCATTTTAGGTGCCGTAATTCTCTCTCGAGCAACTACAATAATTTACTAGACATATTCTCTCGAACTACGCTAGTTGGCTTTATCTAACCGCTCATTATGACCACGTCAAAGCCTCGTTATCTCTAATCCCGCTTTTAAACCTTCCGTATTGATCTCTCATATACTTTAGGAGTGACGTTGTTCAACAACCACCTAAATATATGTTCTTTCTCAAGCAACACATACTAAATAGGTACAGTCAATCAATGGCCATTCAACCAACTGAAATAAGCACGTAGTTGAACAAGTAGATAAAATCCAAAGGTTAAATTATATTAAAACATAACAACAATTCATCCTCCAAGAGGTTCCATCAAAACTCTAGATAATAAATTAGCTATTCATAAAAGTATGTGAAAACACAATACTCCAATTCATAACCAACAATGAAATAGGAAGAAGAAGGGGAAAAACTCGTAGTTGAATCTTCCTCCTTGCTCCTAGCGTGTTCTTGCCTCCAAGGGTGTTGTCTAACCCTAAAGTAGTGTCTACTCTTCAAATTTGTGTTTTAAAATGTATTTATATCACTTAGGGTTGATGAGGGGCGGAATTTTTCAATCCAACTTCGGATGGGAGAAGCTGGAATCCGCGTCTGCCTTCGCGTCTAGACGCGGACTTTGACGCGGATCCAGCTTTTGAAATTCTTCCATTTCGCGAAGCGCTCCATGCCTTTGCTTCGCTTCGCCGTTTTGTGCCTTAACTTTTCTCCTTTTTTGCGTCCGACTTTGTGCCACGCACGAGAATAGACGAGCTCCCGCTCCTTTAATTTCTTCTTTTTGTGTCGAATTGTCATCTTTTGGTCATTTATCATCCAAACTCGTTCCTACACATAAGAAACACATAATGAGTATATTTCACTTCGAAAATCATGTAATCTCCCGTGACACACACAAGAATTAATATGCAAATGTACTCAAAAATATGCACTTTTCATCATTTATCACACATTCTCCCTGATTGCTTCAATCCGTATAAGGATTTTTGAAGCTTTATTGAACAAGTTTCTCTTGAACTTTTATGTGCTTCGGGAACTTTAAATCCTTCAGGGATTTTCATAAAAATTTCATTGTCCAGTGAGCCATATAAGTAGCCTGTGACAACATCCATCAGCCGCATATCAAGCTTTTCATGGACTGCCGGATTTATTAAATACCTGAAGGTAATTACATCTACCACAGGAGAATATGTCTCCATATAACCAATGCCAGGCCTTTGCGCAAACCCTTGTGCCATAAGTCGTGCTTTATATCTTCCGACTTCACCTTTTTTATTTTGTTTTTGCACAAAAACCCATTTGTACCCCACTGGCTTGACACGTTCAGGCGTTCGAACTATTGGTCCGAAAACTTCACGTTTTTCGAGTGAAGCCAATTCCACTTGAATTGCGTTTTTCTATTATGGCCAATCATTTCTCTGTCTATATTCATCAACAGATTTTGGCTCAAGATCCTCATCTTGCTGCATTATTTCAACTGCAAAATTATATGCAAAATTGTTGTTAACAACAACGTTATTTCGGTTCCATTTTTTCCCGTAGAGACATAACTTATTGAGATCTCTTCATTTTTATCATTTCCAGGTACTAGAACCTCCTGTGAGGTCTTATCAATTACTATGTCTTTATGCTCCTCTTGAGCAATTGCCTCCATGTTATGATCAACTTGATCATTTGCTCCTTTCCTTTTACGGGAATTCTTATCCTAGGAACCGATTGGTCTACCATGTTAAGGCGTGGCCTAGACTCATTTGTATTATCATACTGTCTAGCTGGGACATCAACTCGAATTGGAGCATTTACAGCTGAAATATGCGATTTAGTAACCCGTGGAAGGTTAGTAAATGCATCTGGCAATTGATTTGCAACATTTTGCATATAACTGATCTTTTGAACTTCTTGTTCACATTGATTTGAACGAGGATCCAAATGAGATAGAGATAATACGTTCCAATCTATCTCTTTTTTCAGCTATTTATTTTCTCCCCCTAATGTTGGAAAAATTGATTCATCAAAATGACAATCAGCAAATCTGGATGTAAACAAATCTCCTGTCATAGGCTCCAGATATTTAATAATAGAAGGAGATTCATAACCAACATATACTCCCAACCTTCTTTGGGGACCCATCTTTGCGCGTTGTGGTGGAGCAATTGGAACATATACCTCACATTCAAAAATTCTTAGATGAAAAATATTTGGCTCCTGACCAATAGCCAACTGTAATGGGGAGGCTTCGTGATAACTGGTTGGCCCTATGCGCACAAGTGCTGCTGCATGAAAAATAGCATGTCCCCACACTGAAAGGGGAAGTTTTGTCCTCATTAGCAATGGTCTAGCCATTAATTGGAGGCGTTTAATCAATGATTCTGCTAGACCATTTTGAGTATGAACATGAGCAACCGGATGCTCAACTTTTATTTCAGTAGCCATACAATAATCAATAAAGGCCTGAGATGTAAATTCACCAGCATTATCAAGACGAATTATCTTAATTGCGTAATCTGGAAATTGTGCTCTTAACCTTATTATTTGGGCCAACAATCTCGCAAATGCCATATTACGAGTTGACAATAAGCACACTTGTGACCATCTTATAGATGCGTCTATCAAGACCATAAAATACTTGAATGGTCCACATGGAGGGTGTATAGGCCCACATATCACCCTGTATACGTCCCAGAAATGCAGGGATTCAAACCCAACTTTAGCTGCTGATGGTTTAATAACTAATTTTCCTTGAGAACAAGCAGCACAAGAGAATTCCTTAAATTGAAGAATCTTCTTGTTCTTCAATGTGTGCCCATTTGAATTCTCTATTATTCTGCGCATCATGTTAGAATCGGGATGGCCCAACCGGTCATGCCAAATGATAAAATTATTAGAAGTAGTAAACCTTTTGTTTACTATGGCATGTGATTCAACCACACCAATGTTTGTGTGGTACAACCCAGAAGAAAATGCAGGTAATTTTTCGTGCATATATTTTTTCCATTTTTATTGTAGTAATATAAAGGTATTCAACCTTTCCTTCGTTTGATGTCTCAACATAGTAGCCATTTTGGCGAATAGCTTTGAAACTCAACAAGTTTCTTTGAGACTTACTACAATACAATGCACTATCAATAGTTAATATCATTCCTCCAGGTAGTAATAAGGCCGCTCTTCCAGAGCCCTCAATGAACTTTGTACTGCCAGATATTGTATTAACATAGGCCTTTTTCATAGCCAAATAAGAGGAAAAAAAATTTTCTCTTAGTATTGTGTGAGTTGTAGCATTATTCAAATGACATAAATCTTCATTACTCATCTTGGATCCATTTGAAGACTGGGGAATTTTAATTTCTTCATAAAAAAAAATAAAAGTACATCATGAGAAATACGGAAAACTAACATCACCAACGTCAACATAAGACAACTTAAATACTACTTGAAAATAAAAATAACTTTAGACGAGACAAAAACGGTGAAAATAAAAATAACAACATAATTGCATTCCCCAGTAAATGATCAAACTTTAGTTTTGATCTCCAAAGAAATACAACTTCTGAATGAGTAAGATCATCGAGGACTTGAAAATCATCATCATTCAAAGCAAGATTTGCCTCGGCACTGTCATCATTTTTGTTTGAAGGCCCTGCCTCAAAATCATTTTTAAAGGTCAAGTGAGACTCCCCTGGGGTATTAGCAGAAGATGCTCCAACATTATTTGCCTTTCTTTTGATGGAGTTTTGATAAAGCCTGACAAAATGCCCAAGTGCACGGAATTTAATTTTTCAATGACCTTTCATGCCACAGCGGTAGCAGTTACCGTTTTTGCCTCTTAAAGGATTATTTTGAGAACCCATATTGTTCTCTTTGCCATGACCACCACGATGACGACTATTATATCGTCTCTTACCATTGTCATGCCCACATATATTCATATGGCCATGATTATTATTATGTCTTTTTTCAGACTTATCACGTCTAGCAGCCATATTTGCTTTAGGAAGCGGAGCTGACCCTGTGGTACGGGCTTCATGATTTTTCAGCAAAGGGGTATTATGTTGCTCAGCCACCAGAAGGCATGAGATCAATTCAGAATACTTTTTAAAACCCCTTTCACGGTATTGCTGCTGTAATACTATATTTGATGCATGAAAAGTCGTAAGAGTCTTTTCCAACAAATCCTCATCATTCATAACATCCCCATATAATTTCAATTGGGAAGTTGTTCGAAATACAGCAGAGTTATACTCACTTATGGTCTTAAAATCTTGCAACCGTAGGTGCAGCCACTCATATCGAGCCCTTGGCAATACCGTAGCCTTAAGGTGATCATACCTTTCCTTCAGGCCAGTCCACAATTCAAGTGGATCTTTCACTGTCAAATATTCAACCTTCATCCAAATGATGACGAAGGAAAATCATGGCTTTCGCTTTGTCTTGGCTTGATGCCTCATTACCCTGAGTAATGGTGTTACCAAGGCCTTTAGCGGCTAAGTGAATCTCAGCATCGAGAACCCGTGATAGGTAATTCTTTCCAGAAATGTCAAGTGCCACAAACTCAAGCTTTGACAAATTCGACATAGTGAAAACTATCAAAGATGATAAATAATTAGAAATCATTAGGATAGCGTCAAGAATCTTAAAAATTGACATAATATCAAATTTGTGATCTATATACACTAAAGTGATAATTCCATAAAAAAGAATACTATTTGTTTCTTCAAATTACTAGTATATCTTTGATGTTAACTAGAACAATAATGTCTTCAAACTTTAACACAATTTCAAATGTCGAACAACATAAAATAAGTATTCTTCTCTCAATTAATTCTATTAACATGAAAATTAGCAACTTTCACATGACAATCATACAAATAACTTAAAATAAAGAAACATAGAATTCTTTAATTTTGCACATACTTAGAGATGTGAGAAATTATAAAACTGCATATTAAAGATACTAATCATGAAATCAAAATATACAACGAAGAAAACAAAGTGAACAAATATACCTGAACAACGAAAAGAGCTCAACTTCGTGCTGATAACGTATTAAGAAATGTAGCTCAAAGTAACAATATAAAACAAGTAGATAAGTAGAATAAGAGAAGAAGAGATAACTTTCTTATTTCATCAAGTGTTCAAGTGTGTTCCATCTCACATTTCATGCCTCTATTTATACTATTACATATGAAGGTTACAAAATGATTGTCTTAAACATGACATTAACAATTGAGATCATGGGGGAAGATCATGGGGAGAGGTTATGGAGGTGTGGGAGTTACAATTATAATGGTGATGAGTAGTTGGAGGTTATTTACATCATGGGTGAAAATAGTGAGAGTAGTGGACATCCATATTAACTATAGGTTTTACAACAATTTTGTTATACGAAATATGTTTATTTTATTTTTGCTATCCTTTAAAGATTATTTATTTTGTTAGTAAATTACTTATATTAGAACTCCAATTAAAGTATAATCGAGGATAATTTTAAATTGTGTCAAAAGTAAATAAACTTTATACATATAGAATTCACTAAGTTCATGTTGAAGCTTCAATGTCAAGCACAAAAAAACTCGCTACAATAACTCAACATGTCCAATTATTCTTTTATCGGCCGACTAGTTATGAAAGACATTGCTAGGCAAAAGCTCAAATATTTACTAAGAATAAGCATTTTGACGTCTCTACCAATCAGTTAATTTTATATCATTTAGGGTGTGTTTAGTATGAAAAAAAATATTTTCCATGAAAAATATTTCATGAAATATGAGTGGCTTTATCACTTATTTTCTCTTATTTTATTGGTGAGTGAAAAACTTTTTCCAAAAAATATTTTCTAATATTTGGCTAGAGAGTAGAAAATATTTTTTAGGAAAATAATATTTTATGTTATTATACTCACTCCCTTTTTCCCAAGTCCTCATATTTCCTGTGCTTCCTTCCTCCCCCAAATACCCAACATTTCCGGGACTCTATTTTCTTCAAAGATTTGATTGTTCTTCTAAAAATTCACACAAACCCAAAGGAACTAATGTGATGCTTTACCTTTTTTACCTTAAAATAACATTGTGCTCCATAACTAAAAGAAATATCCTTTTTTTGGTTGAAAAAGAAAGTAATCTTTCTACAACAAGAAAAATAAAGTAATCATTTTGTTGAAATAAAAGAAAATATTTTTTCTACATCATGAAAAGAAAAATACTCATTTTGTTGAAATGAAAGAGAATATTTTTTTCTAAAAAGCAAAATACTATTAATAATACTTCTATTTAGAGTAGGGCGGGGGAGGTTGGGGTGGGTTGTTGGGGGTGGAGAACAGGGGAGGTTGAAAAAGAGTTTTTGAAAAATATTCATGTTCAAACACAACTCTAAATATTCATGTCTAAACACAACTTTAATTTTCAAATCTTTTTTTGAAATTTTACAATTCTCATGTCCAAACGCCTACTAAAATTGTATTCTCTCAGTTTCAATTTAGATGACATAGTTTGATTCGGCACGGAGTTTAAGAAAAAAAAACTTTTAAAATTTGTGATCTTAAAAATTTAAGGAGTAAAAACTTTGTGAAACCATGATATTTATATGGTTATAAAAATTTTTAATTAAAAGTAAAATAAGTAAAATAAAAAGTTTAAATTTAAATTATTTTTTAAATTTAAAAATATATTATTTATTTTGAAACAGACTAAAAAAAATCTTATCTAATTTAGAAACCGGGGAGTACTTTAAACCAACAGTGGGTGGTGGACCCCTCATGCAAAGTTGGATAAAAACCAAAGCAGCAGGCAAACAATAAAACCGCGGGTCAGGACTCAGGCCACGAATCACGCAAAAGCCGTTTGAGTGCTACCATTTTCATAATCATTTCTGATTTCAGCATTATATAAAAAATCATATATAGCTCTTGGTCTTCTTGAGCAAGAATTTGTTACTCTTTAACTTTGCTTCTTCACGCTTTTGCTCACTTCACAGGTAACCGACCTAAATATGTGTATTTTTGCATGTACGGATGCAAAGAGTTTGAATTTCCGCTGTATTTTTTGACGATTTTGTAATGCATTGAGGTTATTCGGAGGATTTTGACGGTGTATGCGTGCGATTCTTGTATTAACATATGCGCTTATTATATTGATTTTCGTTTAATATAGTGTGAATTGTTGTTAGTTCGTACAATTTCGATAACTAGGTTTTCTCTTGTGAATTTGAATAATTCGAATTCCTGGCGGCGTTAAGTTTTCTTTGTGTTTGAAATTTGGCTATTTATTTGATAATTCTTTGGTGAAATGAGGTTATTCCGAGGATTTTAACTGTATACACGTGTGATTCTTTATATAAGCGTATGCTCTTAGATCGAGTTCGCTTAAAATATTGTGAATTGTTCTTAGTTCGTACAATTTCTTAGAACTAGGTTCTCTCTTGTGAATTTGAATAATTCGAATTTCAGGGGCGTTAATTTATCATTGTGTTTGAATTTTGACTGTTTTTTATTTGTTTAATTCTGCGGTGAAATGAGGTTTGTGGTTAAGAATTGAAGATTTTCAAATATTTGACAGTGTATATGTGTGATCCCGTATATGCGCTTATATCAACTTTGTTTGATATATTATGAATTGTTGTTAGTTCATACAATTTTAAAAACTAGGTTTTTCTCTTTAGCTTTTTGCTTCTTCTCGCATTTGAACACTTCACAGGTTTTTTCCTTTAACCGACTTACATATGTGTAGTTTTTGCATTTAAGCGAAGAATTTATCGTGTGCTTGAATTTCGGCTATTTTATTTGATGATCTATGATGAATTGAGGTTTGTGATTAAAAATTTGAGGTTAATTCCAGGTACTTGATGGTGTATGTGTGTGATTATATATTTTTGCATGTATGTGAAGAATTTTCGTTGTGTTTGTAGTTCGGATGTTTTATTTGATGATCCTGTGAGGAATTGAGGCTTGTGGTTAAGGGTTGAGGTTTGTCAAAGTATTTTGATAGTGTATGCGTAATTCTTTTCTAAGTGTATGCACTTATGTCAATCTCGTTTGATATATTTGTGGTTGGTGTTAGTTCATACAATTTTGAGAACTAGGTTCGAGTGAGTTAGATTATTTCGATTTTCAGGTGGCTATTTATGCTGATAGGTGGATAAACTTTTGGGATGTCTGCATGGTCAGTTTACTGATACTTCATTTCTGATGAATTTCTTTGATCTGTCATAAGCTTCATTGTGTCCTGCATTTTCTGTTTTATGTGTATGTTGGCGATTAATTTAATGCGAATTTTGCACTTAGTTGCCTTTCGGTGTCATGAAACCCAGGGGCGGATATTGTTTTAGTTATGTGTTCATCAGAACCCGGTGATTTGGCTCAAACCCTTTATGTGTTAAGAAAATCACTTAATAAATACAAATAATAGATTTCGAATCCACTAAATCAAATGGGTTGTGGTAGAATTCTCAATTCGAACTGTAAAATCCTGAATCTGCCTTGCTGAAATCTTTGCATGCTTGAGGTATTTGGTTGAGAACTCTAACTGATTTCGTCGAACATTCCTAAGTTTGAGCATAATCCTACTATTAAACCTTTTCAATTGTCAATTGTACTAGCAAGCTAGCCTAGACACCACCGTCATAAAAAGAAGAAGTAATTGACTAGTTTTTTCTTCTGGAACATGTCAATAAGATGCTAATTTTTTGTGTTGATTAACTGTTTTTGTTATAAGATGCTTCCACTGTTCCACATGTAACTCTTTCTTTGACTTGTAACTAACGATCAGCATTCAGAAATGTTAGATTATATATGATAACTAAATGAAGACGTTGAATTTTCAGTAATATACTATGTATGTGCAACTTAATAATTTGTAATTCTTAATTTGCAAAGTCACGCTTCTTAACATGATGCTTGTAGATTTGAACTATGGGTCAAGCGCTCGGTTGCATTCAAGTAGATCAGTCAACTGTTGCAGTGAAAGAACACTTCGGTAAGTTTGATGAAGTGCTGGAGCCAGGGTGTCACTGCTTGCCTTGGTGTCTTGGGTATCAGGTCCCTGGTTATCTCTCATTGCGACTACAGCAGCTTGATGTTCGTTGTGAGACAAAAACAAAGGTACTTCTACATTGCACTATATCGAATATCTAACTCGTTCTGATTTATTGCTTTTTATGACAGTTCTAAACTCATTGATGGTCTTCCTAGTTGAAAATTGTGTTCATGGATCTAGTACCAAATCCCAAAAGAAAAAATCTTGATCTAATTTTTGTCATTTTGTGAGGTTATATTAGTTTCTCCTTCCCCTGAACCTTGTATCGTTTTAGTTCTAGTGAATGTCTCCTTTCTGCATCTTGCTAGTTTGATCATCACAAGACTAAGCATTGCTCTCGTTGTTCCAGGACAATGTTTTTGTGACTGTTGTAGCATCCATTCAGTACAGAGCGTTAGCAGAAAATGCAGCTGATGCATTTTACAAGCTCTCTAACACCAAAGGACAGATCCAATCCTATGTTTTTGATGGTATGTTTTGAGATCTATGCTCTGTAATTGTTGCCATGGAAAGATGAGGAGCTTGTGGACGAAGTAGTATAAGATTGACTTCATTTTTGCCCTTCCTCTTCCTCTAATCTACCCGCAACATAAGAAGTACGAAAGGGCTGAAAAGGGGGGAGGGGGTTGAAAAAGTGTCATAGACTTGGAGAACATGGGGTGGAAATCTGTTTAGATATTATATGGCATGTCATTTTTTTTTTTTTTGGGGGGGGGGGGGAATATTAATTTTTAGAAATGGTAAGTAGCTGCAGTGGCTTCTCTGGTGGTCATCTTGGGCTTCGTGACTGTCATATACAACAACAACAACCCAGTAAAATCCCACAAGTGGGTACGAGGCTATGGGGAGGGCAGTACGCACACCTTACCCCTACCCCGAGGGAGTAGAGAGGTTGTTTCTGGAAGACCCTCGGCTCAAGAAGACGAAAAGAGAGACAATATATCAGTACTATCGACAGAAAACAATAGAAATAATGACAGCAACATAAGAGGCTTCGTGACTGTTATATATATATATATATCTTTTCTGTTTATGTTCGAGATATATGTATCCAAGTAATGCTTTCTTGCTATGTAGCGCAACGACTTTTTTATACTGAGCTTGAGGTATAACGTCTATCAAATCTCCTTTTAGTTATAAGGGCCAGTGTGCCACGATTGGGGTTGGATGCTGCATTTGAGCAGAAGAACGAAATTGCTAAAGCAGTAGAGGAAGAACTTGAAAAGGTTATATGATTCTTGCCTTAACGACTAATTCTTTGTTTCGGTCTCTTTTCATTTTAATTATGCTAAAATTCTTTTCCTTTTTCCTTAAAAATTGCAGGCTATGTCTGCTTATGGGTATGAGATTGTGCAAACCCTCATTGTGGATATAGAGCCAGATCCCCATGTCAAGAGGGCAATGAATGAGATTAATGCTGGTAAGGGCGAATTACATCTGAAGATAATTTGTTCGTCAATTGGATATCTGAATTTTGAGTGCTTGCGACAACATTGAGCTAATCATGTTCTTCTTGTTTCTTGTTCCTTTTTCACGAAAGGTGGTTGCATTGCCTAGACAATGACTGCATGCAATATTCTTTTCAGAAATCGTAACTATTTTTTGTTATCTATTGCCTATTGTTGCATGTGAGTGTTCTGATACACCTTTGCTGTTGACAACAGCTGCAAGACTACGTGTTGCTGCGAATGAGAAGGCCGAAGCAGAGAAAATATTGCAGATCAAGAGAGCTGAAGGAGAAGCTGAATCCAAGTATTTATCAGGGCTTGGCATTGCTCGACAGCGTCAAGCCATTGTGGACGGTCTTCGAGACAGCGTGCTTGCTTTCTCAGAGAACGTGCCTGGAACAACAGCGAAAGATGTGATGGACATGGTTCTTGTTACTCAATATTTTGATACGATGAAGGAGATTGGAGCTACTTCCAAGTCATCTGCTGTGTTTATTCCCCATGGACCAGGTGCTGTCAAAGATGTTGCTTCTCAGATCCGCGAGGGTCTTCTCCAGGCTGAAAGTATTCAGCATTAGTTTAACAAAGACTAAGGATAGTTGATAGTCTTGTGTGGTTTGTTGTTTTTAGTTCAGTGTTGATATGGTAGCTTTACGTGTGTTCGTGCTTATAGAATCCATAGATCGATACGTGCAAAGTTTGGTTTTACCATCTGCTTTATAGGTTGTTTATCAACAATGCTGACAGACAAAAAGTTTTGCAGTTGATTGCATTGCTATACGATGTGTCTCTATAGGCATTTTTAGGTATTTCCTTACGGAGAGTAAATATATCATTTACCTAACCTATATTAGCTGCTGATTGACTTACCCAAAAGTTCCCTCCTATTCCGCCTTCCTTCTTATTTTGTATTTGTACATTTTTCGCCTTTGTTTTGGTAGAGATCTAACTTTCAATGGTTCTTACATATAACTTCTGAATTTATTTAGAAGTAATTCACGACACCTCTCTTTCCTAGTTATAAGGAAAGAGGACAACTGGTTAGTAATTTGAAACTCCAGGCAGATGGCCAGCGTTCAAAAGAAATTCTTGAAATAAATTTGAAACTCCAGGCAGATGGCCAGTGTCCAAAAGAAACGAAAGAATGGCTACATTTTTCACATTAAAAAATTGAACAGAGTTCTTTTTGTAGCACTTCGCTTCTCTTCTTATTTATTCTTAAATATTTTCTAATTTAGTTCTCCTAATGATTGAGTTAACCAATTCAAGCACAATCAATAATCCTTCTAGCTTCCGTTTCTTTCTTTCTTCCCATGCGTTTCTTCCCAAGCGCTGGAATTCTGATCTATTTTGTGGCAATATATAAGCAAAGCAAGAGAGGAAGTTTGTTGAAGCTTGAGTGAGGAGATAAGTATAGTAATGATCATGCTTTTATCATGTCTAGGTTCGATCCCTCCAACAAAAGAACAAATTAGCTATTTGAATAAATTAAAAGGTAAATCTTATTAGTGTATATTGAACATGACATATTCCTAGAAAGATTTGGCTTTTACATTGGTGTGAGGAGAGAAGGCCTCTCCATTTGCGTATTGCAGCCTAATGAATGACGCTTGAAGTGGTACTCTAGTAATTTGCTGTTTTCACAAGAATTAGGTGTTGGGAGAAGAAATGATAAAAGATCAATATTCAAGTGGGGTATTCCTCTTAATAATTTGCTGTTTTCACAAGAATTGGGTGTTGGCAGAAGAATTAATGAAGATCAACTTTGTATTTTATTTATTCATAGAAAGAGCTCGGCTCCTCCCCTTTAGATGCTCAATATATTTCTCAAACCCTTAGACCGTTGCATTCCATTTGTAACAAACCCGCAGTAAGCCTAAAAATCTCCTTAAACAACAGGCTAGCTAATGAGTAATGACAAACAACAAACAATTACAGGAGTAGCGAAAAGAATAAGCGGCCCCTAACTCGAGGCATCACACCTTAACATACACTTCAGAAGTCAATTCATATATGAAACAGAGATATCACCATTATAAAGTCATGTAGACTGGCTAGATCCCACACCAACTACTACGTTAAAGAGACGGAACCACACCAATTTAATGAATAGCAAAACAGCCTCAGAAAATCTCGAGCAAGAAAAAAATGACATGGACGGTGATCTTCAAAAATTGATGCTTTTAATCGGACTAAAATCTCGAGCAGAAACCTCTCAAGTGTTTAGGGATAAGGGGCACCCATCATCAGTTTCAAAAAAGGGGGAATAAGAATGTACGAACTCAAAATGACAAGACGTTGGTTGAAGCAACCACCCTAGAATTATTTTTACAGTCCAGAACCACCAAATAAATTGCCACAAACAAGTCTTCTAACTAGAACCCCATGTCTATAGGTGATTGTCCTATGGCTTGAGAGCCAAGGCCAGTCCAAACTTGGCACTTTTGTCAACAGCTTTGGTGTCCACTTCTCCTGAGATGGTGAAGAGTGACTTTGGACGCCACTCATGTTGGATCAGAGCATTTGCCTTGCCAAGGTTGTTAACCCTTGCCTTCACAGTGGTCAAAGGATCCAATTGATGCTGAGTTCCGACAGTGATGGTGTTCTCATTGGTAGAGAAGCTATGTGTCACCTCAGCGCCAACAGCAGTCATGGTCAGGGGACTGACTATGTGGTAGTATGATGCACTCAAAGCATCTCCCTTGTCATTCCTGATATGTCACAATACATCCATATTGACAAGTAAGCTAATCAAACACTGAATTACGCCTTTTGCAACAAATCTTAAAACCAGGTCGACATGTTAAATACACCCAACGCGATAACACATGGTCAGTTCTCTAAAGATATCCTACATTAGTGAAAATAACTCACAGATTCAAAGAAGCAATGAGGTCGGTATTTGTGAAGCTCAAGCCTGCATTACACTTGGTGATAGCTCCCACCTTGGTGTCAAAGGATAGATCAGTTCCCAGAGAGAGAAGATTAGTTCCCACAACACCAGAGAAGTTGACAATGGGGTTAGCTGTCAACCCAATACTGGTGCTAATCCCAGCATAGTCATGCAAATATTGAACTTCCAGCTGTCACGACCAAAACAAATAACAACATAAGCAGCAGCAATACAAATCAACTCTTTCTTATTTCTATAACTTTGATGCAAACAGAGCTTAAAGGAAATAGCTGTTTACCTTTGCAGAACTTTGATCAGGAATTCTGAAGCTAAGAATTGTCTTCAACCCAGGAGCAGCTTCATCAACCGTAACAGTTGCCAAAAGCTGGCGTTGAAGACAAAATCAAGTCAGATTACCATATGTGTGATGGCAGATATCTCAAGAATAGAAAGAAAAATAAATTCGTGGTATATACACTCTGAGAGTCGAAGAAAGAAGGATAAAGAATGTACATTAGAAAACCAATCTATAATTGAGCAAAGAAAGTTTTTAATGCTTGCAATATCTATATCCGTTTGGGTTGTTCAAGGCACATGTTGACTCATAGCTAGAGGCCAGATGTACAAGGATCTTTGTCAATAAAAACGATAATGTGAAATTGTAAAGATCATGACCCAAGACCAAGACAAGAAGAACACACCACACAACAGTAAGAGGCAAATATATCAACTTAAAAGGGAGTAAGCAGAAGTGCTCACATTTGAGTTTGTGTCTACTTTTATATCCGTTGTAACATTCTTGTTCTTCAATTGAGTGTTAACATCAGCCAGAAATAGATCACCTTTCTTCAGTCCTGATGATGTAATAGCCTACAAAAGATGAAGAGGTTTAAGTTGCAGAATAAATTGTAAGAAAATAGGATAACAAAGTACATGGATAAATATCTCCCACATATTTCAATGAGTTTATAAGCACTAGCTCACGAGAAATTTGTAACTAGAATCAAACTTAAGCACGGTCAATATCCAGAAAATTTTCTGATGCAAAATAGACGGTGGCAGCTTGAAGCTAGAGGCTACTATCATTTCCTTCATATTAGGCATAGGATGAGAAAACACCAAAATTCCAGAGTTCAGCAAGCACAAAAGATAGCAAGTGTATCAGATAAGATATCACTACTCGAGTAAATATGAGAACAGAAAAAAGTGCTTCGAATTTCTACATATATTAAACCATCTACGTTATCCTTTGGTTAGCAGGAAGTTACACACGAATTATAGTGCAGGGAGATGATGTTTATTGCTAAACTGGAGAGAAATTTGTTTCATTGGCCTGTCCATTAACTCAACGTGGTTTCTCTATGTGATTAGAATAACTAGTAATATTTAAGATCATCAATTTAAATTATCTCAAATAATGTAGTTATCTCAAAACCGGCATTACAAAGACTAGTTGAAACAAATGAGAGCAAGAGTTGGTAGCTAAAAGTAACAGTCTAAACGACTTTTTTTTCACCATGATATGCTCTAATACAGGTATGGTAATACGCTTGTTATCCACAACTGAATTTGGAATTGAATTCAGTATAAACATCAATTACCACATAACTAATGCAAATACTATCAACATGGAAACCAATAATGACAACAAAAAACCTACAATACGGACACAAAAAATGCTCCGTAATGTCTAATATTAGACTACATGTCAGTGAATAATTCAACCATACATAGATACAGATGTCTAAGTGAATTCACTCATGAAAAAAATAGTAAATGTCCGTGAATTTATATTTAGTAAATATACGGAAAGAAAATCAACAAGCCAAATTTTTCTATCATTGAACAGCCAGTGTCCAATGTGATGTCACACACGGATATATAGAAAAGAACTCTAGCTAAATTAGGATAAAGAACAGATCCTCATCAAACTAAAGAGAAAACTCACAACTCCAGTAGGTGAGTAGGTAGTAATTGTGAATTTGTGGTCAGTCTGGTAGTCCCTGTATAGAAGATCTGTTCAACACAATACACAAACACAACATCACCAAAAGAAACAACAAATCACAAACCAAATAAACGAAATCAATACAGCATTCCATCTATCGAGCAGCAAAACTTAATTTTAAAAACTATATACAACTGCCTCTACCCTAGACATGTATATACCTACATACTTGAAACTTGCACCCAATTACCTCGAATTCATACTAACATATATGTAATAAAACTTTATCAAAATATTTAGAGATACCTATACATTACACACACTCACTCACTGGTTTCATATTCTAGATCCATCTCCTCGCTGAATATATATATATATATATATATATATATATATATATATATACACACACACACACACACATATATATTAAAATGTATAATCACTAGTTTCAAATTGCAGATCTGCCTCTCCGTCAATTATCTCCAACTCGAACTATACACACACACACACACAAATAAAATGTGTCCACACTAATTTCAAATTTTAGATCCCACTTGACTGTAAGATTTTCATAAGAAAAAAGCAAATAGGAGGAAATAGAAACGAACCTCGGGCCCTCTTGCCGATATCGGAGTAAAGTCCAGGTCCCTTGCCCATGTTTCAATCTAAAATCGGAGAAGAAAAGAAAATAAATGGAGAGAAAAAGCTCTGTAGCTATGGAGAAGCTGAGTGAAAATGTGGGGGAGGGATTATATATACAAAAGCCCTAATTTGTATGACACTTTTGAAACGGTGTGTTACTACGTGTACTTCGAGTGATCTGGACCGTTGATATGAAGGCTGTGTAGTTTTGGCGTTTTGTTGAACGGTGGATTGTGGCGTTGAGTTGTGGAATGGTGAGGACACGTGGCATGTAATAGTTTAAGTGTAGTGCTGGCTTGGAAGAGGGGTAGGATTTTTTATTT